AGGCAGTATCACTATGGAAGTAGGATTGCCCAACCTTCCTTCCGAGGAGTGGCTGGTGGGTTTGAACCGTCAGCCTTCTGGTTAGCAGTCAATTGCCTTAGGCACTATGCTACTCTGGTCATAGCCAAACATTATTATAGCTCTCTTTTTCCTTTCATTACACTTGTGTCTATTTTCTCCTAGTCTTCTCTTTCCTACCTCATGGTTGATCATCTAAATATCTCAGTCACTAGTGCACCATACTTCTGCTACACCCACCAGAAAATTCTTAGCCCCAGATCAGTGTTACAGTCTGCGTTTTCTGATCTTCTATCTGTACTGGAGAAAAAATTATACAAATAAGCAGAGTGATATTGTTATTGTTAGGTGCCATAGAGTTAACTCTGACTCATACTGACCCCATGTAAAACAGAATGTAAGACACTGCCTGGTCCTGCATCATTCTCATAATCATTGCTATGTTTGAGCCCATTGTTGCAGCCACTGTGTCCATCCATCTCATTGATGGTCTGTCTTTTTTTCACTGACCCTCTACTTTATCAAGCATGATATCCTTCTCCAGGGAATGATCCCTTCTGACAACATAACCAAAGTATGGTAGACAAAGTCTGGCCTTTCTTGCTTCTAAATACATTCTTGCTGTTCTTCCTCCAAAACAGATTTGTTTGTTCTTCTAGCAGTCCATGGTACATTCAATATTCTTTGCCAACACCACAATTCAAATGCATGAGTTCTTCTTCAGCCTTCCTTATTCATTGTCCAGCTTTCACATGAATATAAAGCTATTGAAAAGACCATGGCTTGGATCAGGCACACCTTAGTCTTCAATGTTAGATTGTTGCTTTTCAACCCTTTAAAGAAGTCTTTTGCAACAGATTTGCCCAATGCAATATATCCATGATTTCTTGACTGCTGCTTCCACAGATGTTGATTGTGGATCCAAGTAAAAGGAAATTCTTGACAACTTCAATCATTTCTCCATTTACCATAATGTTGCTTATTGATCCCATTGTGAGGGTTTTTGTTTTCTTTATGCTGACATATAATCTATACTGAAGGCTGTAGTTTCTGATCTTGATCAATAAGAGCTTCAATGCTTCTTCACTTTCAGCAAGCAAGGTTGTGTCATCTGTGTATTGCAGGTTGTTAATCAATCTTCTGATCCTGATGCTGTATTCTTCTTTATATAATCCAACTCCTCTTATTCTTTGTTCAGCATACAGATTGAAGAAGAATGATGAAAGGATACAACCATGACACACATCTTTCCTGATTTTAAACCAAGAAGTATCCCCTTGTTCTTGAACAACTACCTCTTGGTCTATGTACAGGTTCCTTACGAGCACAATTAAGTGTTCTGTAATTCCCATTCTTCTCAATGTTATCCATAATTTGTTGTGATCCACACAGTTGAATGTTGTGATCCACCACTTGTCTGTCAGTTTGTCATACTCTGGTGGCTTAGATCTTCCTGTGGTGTTGGAATCTATGCCTTTGTCATTTCAAATACCATCATGGCAACCCATAGTGGACAGGTTTCAGTGGAGTTTCCAGACTTAGACAGACTAGAAAGAAGGACACGTCCAGGTCCAATTATAAAAAAAGACCACACTGAACCTTATGAATAGCAGGGAAACGTTGTCTGGTACAGTGCCGTAAGATGAGCCCCTCAGGTTGGAAGGCCATTCAAAATACGACTGGGGAAGAGCTGCGCCCTCAAAGTACAGTCAACCTTAATGACGTGGATGGAGGGAGTAAAGTTTTCTGGACCTTCATTTGCTGATATGGCATGACTCAAAATGAGAAGAAACAGCTATAAACATCCATTAATAATCAGAATGTGGAATGTAAGGAATATGAATCAGGGTGCTCAGTAAATGTTTATTAACTGAATGGTTGGATGACCACATGTTATTTTCTGGATTGTTCTCCCTCTGAACATTTTCCATGGAGAATATCCTTCATTATTGTTTCCATTTAGAAGTAATCAAGATATTGTTATGTCCAGGGGACTCTGTAATCCCCATATCCTTCCCCAAACCACAGCAACCCATCACCATGAGGTTCCCAGTATAGAAAAATACACAAAGCGTAATGGAAAAGGAACGTGAAATACCACTTTGTTAATTAAGCTTTTGTCCCAAAAACCCAGCATAGAGAATTCTAGTAAGCTGGAATGAACCAAGTGCTGGATTTTTTTTCCCCCTAAAATCCCAATCCAGCACATCTACTAGTTCTGGAGGAGCAGGAGTAGAAAGCATATTTAGAGAACATGTTTGTTCCTCATGCTTAGTGTCAAACCAGCTGAGGCCTCACTTGGATCATTGGCCCCCAGCCAGGTATCTGCCACATAAAGGGAAAGAGAGTAGGCTTACCTTCTGTGATATAAGTGTAAGAGGAAGAAAGGGGAGCTGTACAGATTTTGCAGGCTATGAGTCTAGAGAAGTGTTA